CCGTAACCGTGTACCAAATTTGAGCGCAATCGGTCCAGCCGTTCTCGAGATCTGGAAACGACCCCTGCACGTGCGCACGTGCAGCAGCACCCCAACTCTGGCACATGGATATGTATTGCCTAGTGGGTGCCTACCTACATGCCAACTCTCAGCGCAATCGGCCCAGTAGTTACCGAGATATTGCAACAATTACAAAAGTGACACCTCTTCGTTTTGCACGTGGCACGTGCATAAGGGGTCACCCACATGCATCGGGAATAGTGCAATACTTGGTAGAAGGAATGAAGCTACCCTACAAAAATTACCGCATGTAAATCGGTCAAGTGGTTGCTGAGATATAAGCCTCGCAAAAGCGTGACCACGGCCGGCCGGCCGGCCGGCCGCTCATACTCAGAAATTTCCGTTAATCTAAGGAAAGACTACGCTCGCTTCGCTCGCTCCGTAATCAACTTGAAACTTGGCATACCTTCTCCCCCATCAATTTGATGTCTCCTGTGCAATTTTCAAGAAAAAAATTTTTCAACAATTTTTTGAGATATAGCGATTTTAGTGATGTAACTACATGGCGTTTTCAGTCAAAAAATAGTAAATGTTTAAAAAATCGCCAAAAATCGAGGTTTTGAGGAAATTGCAAATTAAGGACATGAAAAGACGCAGCTCAACGAGTTCTTTAAAATGGCTATCTCGGATTTTCCATAAAATGCGTTTTTTACCTCTAAAAATTCAAAAAACTATATTTTTTGGAAAACAGCTAATAAAATCCAAAATTTTGAGAATTGTCAAAAAACCGGAATATATGTTATAGAGCTCTATTAGAACATTAGATGTCCCAAATTTCAGCTTTCTATCTTGATTTTTGACCCCCAAATTGTAAAAAAAATACCTCCAACATGCATAGGGCATGGTGACGTCATAAGCATTTTCGCGAATTAGAGGCACTTCTGAACATCGCATGTGAAAACAAATGGCACCACTAGATTCCTTGGACAAAGCTCGTCTAGAAAAGTGCATTTTATGTCAAAAATAAAAAGTTGAAAAATTGACTTTTTTTCTTACAGGGTTGGGCAGATAAATTGGGACAAATTTCAACTTCCTCTAAAACGACTATTTTTTAGTGATAAAGATAATTTTTGAACATAAATATAGGCTAATGAATACTTTTCCATGTTATGCAGGTTGCGTTGTAATTTTGAGTCGGCTGGTCACAGAACGTGGGCTTAAGCAAGCCACTATCAACTTCGTCCGCGCGCACATGCATGCCAATGCTCTAATTATGCACTATCAAATGGCTGAAAGTAGAATGTATCGAACAGACGTAACCGTTGGAGGAAGAGATGATATTGACTCATCCTTACATACTTATTGCATTGACACCGGCCGCTCCCCCGGTTTTCCAGGGGGGCTAAAAGGCAAAGTTCAGTTAAATCAGAGGATCCTCGCGAAAACAGTGGCGCGAGCTTACAACGAAGGTAGCCGCGCCATGAGAAAGCGATATACCCACACCTCAAACATGTACTCTTATGCATTGATGCATATCAACCTGTTAACATAGATGTTGAAGCAGCTGTGACGTTAAAAAGATTGTTTCCTCTTGAAGGGCTTGGAGAAGCGAGCAAGCACGTGCAGGTCTTTTTCGACGATGGTATCCCCATAACCGAACATATGAACAACCGCAAACACCATGAAACATCGCAACTAGCCCAGAAGACGTGATCTTAGTTCCAAAAAGCATGCAGCAGACATCGGTGATGGCATTCCACTCGGTGACTTCTGACGGTCACGTGTGGCCCCCTTATTTTACGGAATCGGGAGGGGGTTCGCCATTACAGCGTACCTAACCATTATTCCGGCAGTTTGAATCAACAAGATGGAAGAAGGCAACATCCTGCATGGAGTGATGCTCTTCGAGGAGTCAGCTCCCCGGCATACAGTAAATTAAATACAAAATCTCCTGAAACGGAGGATCCCGCAAACTGTACCCAAGGAAAAATGCCCCCTTCCTCATTAAACCTCAGCCCAAACAAGTTCTGGTTGCTGGGGCGTTTTTGCGGGTGAGTCTAACGAACGTCCCCATGTGACTGTGGTGAGCCTCAGCAGTGCCAGTTGGCTACAATTACGAGCCATTTCAGACGGGAGATCTCGCCGCGCGTGCGGCCAGTCCAGGCACCGATAAGGACTGATGCAGGTGGACCACGGTGACCATATTTGGTGATAAATGTGTAAAATTGGCGTGACAATATGTGATCCAAATTTTAAATGCCTATGTTTACAAATTTCAAAGCTACGGCGTTCTGAATGCAAATATGTATTTTGTCCCAATTTATCTGCCCAACCCTGTAGCCCTCGTTTAGTTATGTATGGTATAAACGATTTCTTATGCTATCAATGCACACTTATCACCAGCACAGTGACTTGGGGTCACATATAACCATTACCATCGGATTTGGCGTGAAAAATAAGCCATAAAACATGTGTTGCACGCCCATGTAGCAGAAAGTGAAAACCGTGACCTTTCGTGACCTGACCTGACCTTGACCCGTACTTAGTATGACCCCTATACGCACATGGTACCTTCACTAGGTCTTTGAGGTCATTTGTGGTGAGTTTCGAGCAGCAGCTATCGATTCCGCTGTCCGTAAGCCTAATCATGCAAAACCCCTGAATTTGACCTTTGACCTGACCTTGACCCGAAAGTTAACCTCAATCTTAAAATTTTAAGAGTGCTTTGGGAAGGTCTCGTAGAGACCTTTCGAACGCCGCCTCGCGGGGCTCGATACGACCATTGGTTCTCGAGATAACAGGGGGGGGGTCGGATCCGACCCCCCCAGGCTGTCGTGGGTACGGAAATAGCCCAGGCGGTGCCGGGTTAAGGTCACGGAAAAGTATGAATCCTTGCTGGAGGCTATTTCACTGATTCAAGTTAGTAATAAAAATTGAGACAAATTTGTTATCCGGAGGCTCTAAATGAATGCTTAGAGCAAAATGGATGCCAGATTCTTGATCAGAAGCTTGAAGAATCCATTAGGATAAGTACGACCATTGATCTGCCAAGGTCAACTAAAGGTCATTCGACGTCGCATAAGGTCAACATAAACCTGAATTTTTCCAAACAATTATGTTAGTCGACGGCTTGACAATACGAATGCGTTGGCACCACTGCCTATTTTTGTTGAAGGTAGGTATTAACCCGCGCCCGGCTGGGGGTCCTGGATTTCCACGCCCTGCTGGGGGGGGGGGTGTCTGAACACCCCCCCTTCTAACTCGGCTCCTGGGCCACGTAGCGATACGCGGAAGGCGGCGTTCGAAAGAGCGTCAAAAATAATGACGAAATCACTTCGGTCAATTTTTTGGTCAGGTCAAAGGTCAGGTCACCAGAGGTCATTGAAGGCAAAATTTCGCCGATTTCCAGGTCGAATGTCGACAATTTCCAAGATGCCAACGCATAACTCGGGAACCAATAGAGCTACAGCGCCGCGGAAAAGCGCATTCGATAGCCCTATTAACGCCCTTTCTGAGTAATTTCTCTCAGATTTGACCTAGCGTCAACGGTTTTGCCTGCAGGGGGCAAAAACTGCAAAAATAGCCGATTTTTTCGGAAACAGTTTTTCTGCAATAACTTTTGATCCAAGCCTTGCACGAGCTTACTTTTACCGGCATCGTGTTCCTCTCGTCAAGACGCATCGAATGAACTATAACTTGACCTTGAAAGGTCAACTTGAAAATTTGAACTCAGGTCAAGGTCATGACCTGACCTGAAAGGGTCATGTTGCATATCAGTCATCCGTATCGTCTAGCTGAACACATCTAATGCGTTTTCATCGCTCTAGCATGCCTCTATCAAAAGTTATTTGCGAAAAACTGTTCGATACCATTCGTGACCTAAGATGACCTCAGGGCATAAACAGGGGTCACGGACACCATTTTCATGTTCAGTGTGTCTAAACCACTTGTAATTCAGTGTTTGGGAGTGTTAACAACGTATTTCGTCCAAAAGAGGCGCATTTCAATTTTCTCCCTTTGACTTATAATGGGAAGGTCGCAAAATTGACCTGACCTTAGGTCATCGATATCAAAATTCTGAGATATACATTTTGTACGTGCTATTGCTCTTAGCAATCGCTGAAAGTTTCAAAGCGATCGGTCACTCGGTGTAGCTATGACAGACATTGAAACTTTTTATAAGGTGAGGTCACTTCAAGTGACCTGGTGACCTGACCTTGAATGACCTTGGTCTGAAATTTTCACAACATGTGTAGAATTAATGTATGATAAGGTGTACCAAAAACGGCGGCGCTCCGCGCCGCCGTTTTTGAGATATTTGCGAAAAACCACAAGGGGGGGTGTTCAAACACCCCCCCAGCAGGGCGCGGGTTAAAAAAAACAGCTCGGGGTCGTTGACCTGACCTATCTTAGGTCACCAAAATTAAATTTTGTATTTTTTCCTATGTCAAAAGCTACACAAATGTGCTCGTACTTTGTCTTTACCTATAAAACTTACTTCTAATTTGCCAGCGGCCCTGAATTAGACACCCCATTGTCCCGTACCTGGACGAACAAAGTATATTGAACACTGACTAACTAGTTATATTGACTAAGCTACAATCCCCCTGCTGAATCCTGATCATCAAGGATCACTATGAGCACCACCGCTAGCTTCTGCACAGGGAGGGTGCACCTTGTCCAGGGCTTCCGACTCGCACTGCGTCCCCATCACGGTACGGTGCAGATCGTGACGGACAATTTCGACCCGCCCTCCTCCCAGTTCCCGACAGTTGGGCGAACTCGGTCGCGCGCAGGATAGGTGCACGCAACACTTGTATTGTATTGTATTGTATTGTATTGTATTGTATTGTATTACCGTCATGGACAATCCACACGGGGCGTGGCGATTACAGTCCAGAGTCTGACTTCCTGAGGATGACGCCGTCGATGCACCATCATGAGGGGAAGCATTGTACACCTGTGCAGCCCGGGACGCAGGGCACTGGGTGCGACCAGCGATGACCTTCACCGACTGGTGGTTCCGCTCCACAATCGAGTTCCCAGTTGGCCGGTGCACGGCTCTGAAGCGCAGCTAACCCCCCATCGCGCAGTTAGCACTGCAAATTCCCGGCTACGGAATGAAGTGCCGTTTTCCGTCAGCAGTTCGACTGCGGGAGCCATGCGCTCTAAAAATATCTACATACTGCAGTTGCGCCGTCACATTGCCTTAGTCCGACCCGCGCAGTGGGCGCCACACGCAACACCGCGACGGATCGCAATCGGTGACAGATAAGCACTTACGACTGATCGCGGTAGTGTGTATAATCTCAATGGCGAGTCTGATCAAGTCTCCCTCACTTCCACAGCTCCCCGCCATGCCACTTAATGGGTGCCGGGTCCTTTGCGTGGCGCACATCACAGTTTGAAACCGCACTGTGCACCTGGTTCCGCGTGATATTCGGCGAAATGTTACGGCGGGCAAAGTACAGAGTTCGCCGATCACCGGGGTGTCCCGCTCTGGCGTGCAGGTCGCTGATGGCCGACGAATCGTCTGTGGCAGCAATGTCACCCACAATACCATCGGCATCATCGCTGCCAGCGTCAACCTCCGCATCAGTCGCTGGCTCAGTGACACATGAGGTCACAACTTGACCTCCGCATCAGTCGCGGGCTCGACCGCCGCTGCCGCGACTGCGGGCTCACATTCAGGCTCGCATGCACCCGCGTCTCCGCGTAACCACTGCGCTGGCACCCGTGTCAGCCACCGGCGTGGCTGCCCGTCATAAGGTGTCACCGTGTTGCCTAGTGAGCCTTCCACGGTCGATAACGAGCACATGCTGTAAGGAACGGTGCAATTCCAACACAAGGGAGGGTATTGAAATATGACCCCACTTCAGGGACCGCAGCGTCGCCAACAGCGCTCAGTGATTTTAGTAGCTATACGGGCGTTCATGTTATTGTTACGTGCACATTGGTATGTTTAGTGACTATTTAGTGGTATTGTTATTGCATTGTAAAGCTAACGTTATACAATTCTAAACATGAATTTAATCCAAACATGAGCCACCTCTTCAGCCTCGATTTGGTATCGAATTTGTATTGATTTTGCTCGGATTCATAATGGATGTGTAACCCATTTAAATGTTGTCAGGCTTGTTGCATGACAGGGATTTGGTGAGGCTCGAGTTTTCTCGTGTTTGGTGAGGATATCTAATGTCAGGTCCTTCAGGGTCCACACTGTGCACCTGCAGGCAGTACTCGAATCGGCATCTTACGCCACCCTTGATGTTTATCCAGTATATACGACGGTTGAGATGGTTACAACGTAGCGGACTCCACTGCCTCAAAGCAACCAGTGTGTTGCGACAGCTATTGCCACACTGGACCGCCCGCCACAGTACGACCGGTAGCAATTACCCACTAAATTGGCGCCGATAAGCTATCTCATAGTAGCTCAGCTCTCCAGAGGTCACTATCGCCATCGGCCAACTTTTTTTGCGAGGTCACATAAAAATAATAATAATAAACGAATACTTTGCGGGGTAGCGGGCAATAGTAAAAAATGTTGCATGATGTCCGAGGCGTAGCCGAGGGCAATTGAGGTTTTTTTCCCACAGTAGCGGCGGAACACGTTCAATTAAGAGGGGAGGGGGGCACTGCCGACTTTTGGCCCCATTCTTTCCATGCAACGCCCATAGGGCTAATGTTAATTAAAATGACAAAAGTCAAAGGGGGGGGGGCACGGTGCCCCGTTGCCCTCCACGTTCCGCCGCCTATGTTTGTCCGTCTCGCTGGGGTAGGTAATTGATTTCCGAGTTTCCGAGTAATTGAATTTCCGAACATTTAACACCCCGCCCCCCCCCCCCCGTTCTAACTGGTGAGTGACGAAACGTGGCAGCAACTGCAACTGCCGTCTGCTGGGTAAATATATTACACAAAATACAAATACAAGTATTATCCTATCTCAAAAATATGATCTCGTTGAGTAATGGTAACTTTGTATAATCATCTTGTTTATTATCTATAGATTTTCCTGGGTCCTTTTTTCTCCAAACTCCACGTCTTCACCCGTCTAGCTTTCTGACTGACTCCTTCCTTTTTTGGCAGGATGAGCCCCAGTTCATCACTCCCCCGGCAATTTTAGTATCGGGAGGGCGGAGCCGCGTGCACGCTGTCAGGGTGGAGCCCGCGCCATCCCCTGAGAGGCAGAGCAGAGGGGCCGTGCTGGCGGCGCGAGCGCTGCCCAGCGGTCAACTGCCGGCTGATGAGGCCGTGCGACCCTATCTGGGGCTGCGCAGCACGTGGCAGAACGTTACATACTCGGTGGTGAGTTGGTGACGTCACTTAGACTGGTGCAGAGCGTCACCTACTCTGTAGTGAGGGTCGTGCATCCTCTATGGCACGTCATCTGCTTATCTATAGGGCATCAGCACATATTTCGACTGAAAAAAGACATAAAAAAGATGCATTTTTCGTTGCAAAATTTTTGAAGTGCAGGAGGGACGCATTGAGTTAAAGTTGTACCTAAATGACAATACTTTGTCGAAGAGTGTGGTGAAACTTGCAATAATTAACTGCACCCATTGTTGGACGACGTGATATGGATAACGTTTTACCTTGCTGGGCAAAGCCACGTCACTTCATTCACAGATATTGTGTGCTCTCTGCTCACCTACAGGGAAAGTTTTTCATATTCTCCGCCTACTTCGATAGGAGGCTGGATAAGAAGTTCGTACGTATTATCGCCACGGGTCGGCTACGTCTTCCCCGTACAATCCGCGCGCTGCAGTGCGTCCTGCACTACAGCGACGGCTCGAAGGTGAGGGACTTCACATGTGTGGGGACCGAGTCGCCTCCTGCGAGGGAACCCGCTTGATATATCACAGTGACTCAAAACGGTAGTTCCCCCGCCGGTTCATATAAATATGCCAATCACAGTATCTGTTTGTTCTTTGTAGTGCTGCATCGCGCGCTTTTATTTATTTACAAAATAAGTATAATGTTCTAGAACAAGCAACTGAATTACATTTCCATCTAACTTGATTTTGTGGATCGATGGGTTCATTGATCTGAATTGAATTGGAATCGTACTGAGGTGAATCACCGACACGTTGATATTGATTTATCTTTCAAGGATAAATAAATTCAATGGAATGCAATCAGTGATCTAAGCGATACAGTTGATAGACGGTAGACACAAGACAGACTGTAGACTTATTCAATGCTGCCTTCTTCGTTCCTTTACAGGCAATTTTTATAAAAGCGAAATGTGTTTCAATGCTCCTCTAGCTGCAAAAAAAAAACTGAGTGGGCCTGATTAGCCCGCGCCCCAGTGGCGGTCTCAGCCAACTTCGCCCTAGTGGGGGGGGGGGGGGGGCATATGTTACCACCCACCTCTAACTAAAAAATTTAGAGGGCTAGAAAGACGCGGTAAAAAACAGTCGATAGCTCTCAATGCGTACGTTTGGAAGCATTCCGGTCATTTTTCATCTTAGAGCAATATTGGGGTCACTGCAGGTCATCAAAGGTCAATATTTGCCAAATGTCATTACATTTTTCAGAAAACATGCATTTATCTCAGGAACTTTGCTAGCTAGAAAAACGCATGGAAAAGCTATCGATAGCTTTTGAATTCTTCTTTTGATAAGGTCAAATTGACCTCAGGTCAACGGTACAGCCTCCAGAGGGCAAAAACCTAAAAAATATCTGTTTTTACGAAAAGTGTTTTTCGACAATAACTTTTGAATAAAAAAGCCACGGCGTTTCTATTGCCAGAATCGTGTTCCTCTCGCCGAGACGCGTCGAATGAACCATAAGTTGACCTTGAAAGGTCAACTTGAAAATTTGACCTAAGGTCAAGGTCATGACCTGACCGGAAAAGGTCATGTTGCATATCAGTCGATGCGTCTCAACAAGGCAAACACACTGAGGCCATCCCCAGCGTCCTATCTCTTTCCAATCGAGAGTTATTGGCAAAAATCTGTTTTGTAGCCTCAAATGACCTCGGATGACCTTTCTAGAGGCTATCAGCAAAAAAGACACTTTGGTCGTCACGGGTGGACCAAAATCATTGTGATTCTGAAATAATTGGACTGTTCCTATGCGTACACACGGATCTAGAGGCATTTTCATTTTTCTCCATTGACTTACAATGGTAAGGTCACGCCACTGGCCTGACCTTAGGTCACGGATATAAAAAATCCGAGATATTCAAATTGTAGGCGCCCATAACATCATGCAATCCACCAAGTTTAAAACCTTTCTAACAAACACTGCAGGCTGGACATGATTGCAAACTTTTTTAGGCTTGGTCAGTTAACTTGACCTGGTGACCTGACCTGACATGACCTGGGGTTAAAAATTTCACACGTTGTCTAAAATTGACGTACAAAAAGCTATTCCAAGCGGCGCGGCGCTACGGGCCGCGGTTTTTTATTCACACGCAAAAAACGCGACAGGGTGGTAGCATATGCCCCCCCCCCGCCCCCACTGGGGCGAAGGTTAGCTCCTTACAGCCGTGAGGGCAGTGGATAGTAGTTCAAGGAGAGATGAGGTAGATGTGCCGTCTCTCTCTCTCTTAAGTTTAGATTGTCAGCCGTCTCAGGACATTCAACAGTCTGTTCTGTCTCGGCAGATCACATTCCCTGTTCTCTCTTGGCACATAATTTTATAGGTAGGCGTCCGTTTCTCGCACTGTCCCTGGACCCGAGACAGTAGATAGGCTACTCTTGGTAGATAACGTCTATTTTTTTCTCGCCAGTGAACAGTCTGTTCTACATTTCGGCAACTGATGGTCAATTTTTTGTCTCGGCTGTTGACACTTTCCTCTCCGTCTGGGCAGGTTTGTTCTCTCTCCACTCAGGGCACGTTCTCTGCCTCAGAAGCTCACAAAATTACAGTGTCCTCCGTCTAAGCAGGCTACATGATCTGTTCTATCTCTCTCTTGGTAGGAGACGGTAACCGCCGAACACAAGGTGATCCGGGAGAACTGGGGCCTGGCCTACACGGCCCGGTTCGTGCTCTGTAACACCGACCGACTCCCGCTCAGGGTGTCACTGGTGGAGAAACTGGACGATCCCAACCCGGCCACGGTGAGTCTTTGGTTGTGGCATGACTCTTGTCAGTTACAAACAATCAGAGCTAGTCGCACCTACTGAAAGACCGTAGATCGAAAATAACGTGCACATACCAAATCAAAGAGCTCGGGTGAACCCTGTCCTTAACCCTCGCCCGCACATGCCATTTTCCCATCCTAGAACGCACATGGGGGGTGGTTGCCACCCCCCGCGCCATTTCGTTCCTGTTGGAGATAGATCTTAGCGGTAAAGACCAAAACGATTCTTTGGGAAGAGACGAATCCAATGATACCCAGTTTTACCTTCTCAGGTCAGTCATTGACCTTCCAGGTCAGGTCAAACTAAACAAATGTTGCTGTTTTGGGTCACCGTTGGATATCAAGTGCGCTGCTTATCATATACCGATGACGATGCCGTTTTCTGGTGTCAAGCCAGCTAGAACCTCTTTGTCACACTACCCGACCAGGTTTTTGCTGCTGAGGTCATTTCAGGTCAAGTTAGGTCAAGGTCAATTATATGTGTTTGTATGTCTGTGTGTGTCTGTGTGTATACTGATGTGTGCACCGATTGTTTATGTGTCCATATTACATGAAATCATGATCTGAGAAGCTTTTACCAAAAATGCAGTCAAAAAACTTCACAAAAAGTAAATTCCGCTTGCCTAAAACGCAATTATCTTAGATGACCTAGGTTGACCTTGACCCTGACCTTGACCTCTGTACATCGTCGAACAACATGTTCCATGATAGGTGGGAGGTAAGACTGGCAAAAAAGGCCGAAATCAAGGTGTCAAAAGCTCACAAGGCCCATAGCCAACGCAAGATGTTGAGAATTGGCCATTTGGGTCATGACATGCCCTGAAAAACAAGGTCATATCTCCGAAACCAAAAACCACAGAAACTTGAAATTTTCAGTGGACATCAAGAAAGGATAGAGGAGCAGCTATACGAAAAATCAGCCTTCTAGCTCTAATAATGTTGAGTGCAGAGCAGAAAGACTACCTGGGGGGGGGGGGGGGCAACCCCCCCATGTGCGGGCGAGGGTTAAAAGAACAGCTTTGTATTTACAAGTTCAAGTCACTTAACCCTCGCCCGTAAACGGTGTTTTGCCACCTTCGCCCATGCAGGGGGGGGTTGGTGCGATCCCCCCTGGCGTTTGAAAACGGAGCGTCGTAGAACTTAGCGGAAAAGACCAACGGATTGCTCTCAACGAAATCTCGCGATTGGTGGTATATTTTTTGGTCCTAGGTCAACATTTGACCTACTTATGACCGGTCAAAGGTCAAATTTTCGGAAAAAACTAACTTTTTCAGATTTCCGCGCCGATTGCGGCAAAACGGTAAGAGATATCGACTTGAAACCTTCACTATCGTGATCCTTGATCAATTCTCTATCGTTTGGTGTGTATTTCGAGGTCATAACTCTAAAAATGATGCGTTGGGAGCATCGGAAGTCTGCATGGTCATTTGTGCATTGGGTCACGTCAGGCGTGTGACGTCACTGACCTTACCCTGACCTAAAATGAACTACAAGAAACAACCGACGATGCCTGAAATGGATAGCAAATTCGAATTCAGGGCATCAAAATACCCCGAAAAGGCATACAAGTGCAAGAAGTCATTACAGGTCAACCGAGGTCACTGACCTTACCTTGACCTTTAGTAACCTTCAAAATGTCAACGGACATTGTGCCAATGTCAAATCAGCCAGTTGTGATTCTAAAACAATCCATCAGTGTGTCAGGTCAGTCGGCATTTATACCAATGTAAAGCAATGTCCAATTTAGCGTAAATCTGGCCGGAGGTTGTTCCCTTTATGACGTCATAACTCCGTGACCTGACATGACCTTTACAAAAAAAATACCAAAAGTTGCGCAAAGGATGCCCCAAAGGGTACTGAAAATTTGAGCAGGCTATCTGAAACGGTTCGGCGTGTAGCTAAGAAAAACCTCAGGGGGGGGGGTTACACCAACCCCCCCCCTACATGGGCGAGGGTTAACCGACAGAACATGATAAGCGCATTCTTTTATTCAGGCATACCTATCAAATTTAGATGTCCACCAAATGCACAGGTCCTACTTTTAAAAAAGCTAGCAGACCATTGCGTTGATGCTTGCTTTAAAAAGCTAAAATCTTTAAGATTTGATTAATATCATCAAAAATGATAAAACTAAAAATTTCCGCCAACTTCATTTCGGATTTCCCGCTCGTTCAAAATGCGTGTAGACGCCATCTCTCGGCGCTACCTTTCATCCAGTTTCCTGTGACCGCCACCAGGTGGCAGTGTCCGACCTGGACCCGTCTGTGGAGCGGCTGGGCAATTTCGCCGTGTGCGTCAAGCCGTTCCACTACCAGTTCAACCGTGCCGTGTGGCTGGTGGAGTTTATCGAGTTCCACCGGCTGCTGGGCGTCAACCACTTTGTGTTCTACAACCACACGGTTGGCACTGATGTGGAGAGGGTGCTGCGCTTCTACGAGAGCCGCGGCGTGGCCACCGTGATTCAGTGGGAGATGCAGCTCAGGTGAGGGGTGGGGGGGGGGGGGAGGGTGGATGGGTGGGAGAGGCCATACTCTCGGCAGGGGTGCACTTAAGCGTATTACTTCTGTTTATTTTTCCTTTTAAGGACATTGCTGGTAGGTACCACATAAGTAACGCGTCACGCCTTGCTTCCCTCCTTACATTTGACTTTGAGAGGTACGTACTTAAGATCCGCATATCGACATTTTTGATGAATTTTGCAATGCAAATGTAGGCAGTGCCCACGGTCCACGCACACAATGTCATGATAGTTAGCAAAAGCACCCCATCGGCCGCTCGCTGATCTGGTCCCGTTACCATCTGCCCTCTTTCCCCTCTCTCGCCAGGTCACAGAAGGAGATTCGGACCGAGAACATGTTCGCAGCGCTCAACGACTGCGTGTACCGCTCCATGTACCGGTACCGGTACGCGCTGCTCGTGGACGTAGACGAGTACATTGTACCGCGACAGCACCTCGGCTATGGGGATATGTTTGAGCTGCTGGATAGCCGGCGGCGAGCTAACTACGGCTCTTTTGTGTTCAAGGTAGGGAGAGAGAGAGAGAGAGAGAGAGAGAGAGAGAGAGAGAGAGAGAGAGAGAGAGAGAGAGAGAGAGAGAGAGAGAGAGAGAGAGAGGGAGGGAGGGAGGGAGGGAGGGAGGGGAGGGAGGGAGAGGGAGGGAGAGGGATGGAATGCATAGGTACCGAGCCACTTTAAGGCAGATTGATGAACATGGGTGAACTGATTGGAAGACATTAGACAACTTCCAACCTGTGCCGCTGAAGACCTGCTCTAAAATATCCTGCTTTTGTCTTTGCAGAACTGTTTCTTCTACCTATACTGGGAGAACGACACCGCAGTGGCGGAGCAGCTGCAGCTCTCTCAAGCCGGCGAGCGCCGCTTCCCCTACCTTATCACCCTGTTCAAGACGCGCCGCATGCGCGACCCGTTCCGCTTCTTCTCGCGCTCCAAGTACTTTGTGGCGCCCGAGCGGGCCGTGGAGGTGGGCAACCACCAGGTCTGGCAGCACGTGCCAGGTGAGAGCATCAGCAGCGTCGGCTGGTGGGGGGGGGGGGTCACCGGCGGTACAGCACCCACTCCGCACGGGGGGGGGGGGGGGCGGTGGCATCGGTCTGTGGGTGGTAGCGCTATACAGGGATAATTTATTGAATAACTTTTTACATCCAAAGCCTAATGTTATTTGTTAAACATACAGTAGAAGTTATCTCAGAAAGAAATAGGTATACCAAATGTATTTACATTTACCTACTCTTGTAAGTGAATGTTAACTCATTACTGCGACATCTTTTTTGCTAAATGGTGTGATGTCTAGTTTAGTTATAGACAGACGCTACGACTTCGGCCAGTATACGGCAATGGCCACTAGAACCGATGCACGGACGTTGTTAATAGGTCATGTACGTGGTCGCAGAGTCGTTAAACATTGACCTCGATCAATAGCAATTCCCGCGGTCCCCTGTCATTCCGCTGCTGACCGTGGAAAGCGGAACGTGTCCGTATCACTGTCCGATCTGATGGTAATGGCTCGGATATGAGCCGCGGGTGAACCCTGTCCCTCGTAAATAGTTTATAAGCAACCGCCGCGCTGGGGCGTGTTACCATAGACGCGAGTCATGAAACGTATCAATATGGGCTACTTTTGTTGTATTGTTGAGGATAGATCCTCTGTCATTTTTCTTTTCTGCTCTTCTTGAATGACTATATGTCAGCACTCAGCAGGCAGCCTCGTCTCATTCCTCAGTCATATCATGCTAAATTCCGTCTGATCCCTCTTAGCACAACATTCGTAAGCAACCGCCGTTGCCTCCCTGTCACATGGACATTGCAGCGCTGCCCCGCTGTCTTGTAGAATCGTTTTTCACATTCATTATTCGAGAATAAACTGTGCCGAAGGAATATTGCTAACATGTCTGTGAGTATCGGAATCGAACACATTCTTATTAGAAATGCTTCCTTTTTTCCTACAGCAGCAAAAATATTTTCACCATTACAGACCCATTGGATTCATAGTTGCCCGTCTAACCCCAAACTCAATGTCAGAAGTTCAGCACGATTTTTTTGCGTGGACAATTTGATGCAGACAAAGCAAATCCGCGGTAAATGAACACTGGTGGCAACTGGCTTATGAGTGTACCACAAGTGATTGCGAGTTTTTAACTCTATAGTGCTGCACACAAAAGCTTGCACAATACATTATTGATGTTCTCAATGAAATGAGTGTTTTAAAGAAATCAAAATAAAAGATTATTGACTGAACACAAATTCCCCAGACTTCAATGGTGGTGTGTAGTGGGAGAGGCAATTCTGGTCCTAATTTTTCTCGCTCGGAGCGCTATTGGTTTGGTCTGCAGAAGGGGTGCCCGTCTTACCTACCCTGACCGTCTTACCCCACTTTCCCCTATTTTCAGGTTTCAAAGCCATGTCCGTGGGAGAACACTATGGCTTAGTTCATCACTACCGAATATGTGAAATGGGAGGCTTCGAGTGCAAAAAGAAGCCGTCAGTGATTGACAGAACAACGCACAAATATCTTCGACAGCTAACTGGCCAAGTGCTCACGTTGTGCGCAGCCATCTTTGGCGATAGCTGTCCAGAGGCGCCGCCACTTGGGTCGCCATGGTAACGAGAAACAATGCAGCTTGGGTCTCCATGGCAACGCGACGCGCCACTCAGTGCAATGCAGTGCAGTGCCTGCAGTGCAGTGATCACTGGTCATCGAACATCGTGTGCTTTCTTGTGCCGTGGTGGTTGTGAGGCAGTGAAGAACGCCTTCTGTGTCACTGAGTGCGATCAAGCAATGACAGATAGGTATATGTAAGACCGATCCCATTTAGATAAAACGATATGCCTAGTTAGGTATAGTTGACTACAGAATGATGTTCCACTCCTCAGAAGCTATCAGTTGACCGGAGCGCTAAGTTGTGCCGTTTATCACGCAATTAAAAGCGTGTCAATTGTGAGCATTTACAAAGCTATAATTTGTGAACTCAGCCCGTGTGATGCGGCACAGCCTACCACTCCAGGCAAATAATTGCCTGTGAAAAGTGGAGCATCATTCTGTAGTCGACTATACATGCCAGAGAGAAAGGCAGACTGAGTTGTGCCATATCCATTGTCAGTTGATGACGACGCTCAAATTTGTTAAATTGTGTGGCTGCAGTTGTAGGACTCTTGCAGTGCATCGTACCATAAAGTTTGCCCTCGCTCGCCGAGAACCCATATAACTCCGCCAGGCGAGTAGGTAGGTAAGCAACTCTAAATGCGGGTATGCAGCAGTTCCCTCACCATTTATTCTTGTTTTTACTTAGCATTCAGATCAGCCGCACCAGTGCGGCCCTGCACATGTTTTTGGTGCACGTGTGAAAAACCCGATAACATTTATTGTGTGTTCACCGTTTAGTGTTCAATGCCTCACGCGAAGTGACCATGTACGACTGCCTTAGCGTCAACACTAATCTCGCTGTGATCTATTGTGCCTGTTTTCAAAAAGTGTTTGCGTGCAGGTCTGCGTGTATTGCCTTTCGTGCGAACATCTGACCTGCTACGACATGCCTGTTTCTGACTATACCGAGGACAAAAATAAACCAGTAGCAGTCAGTAGGCATCGTGCCCGGAAATACAATAACCTTCGGGGGTGCGCCGAAACCAACTGAATATCAGTTGAGAAGGGAGCCCGTTCGAACAGCATCTCATGAACTAGGTGAGATGGCCTGGCACCGTACCAAGCAGCTGCTCCTGTCAACATTAGAACTGCTGCAGCTATACGATAAAATGTTTTTTCGTGTCTTTCGTGTGACGGTATTGTCTTTCGTGCGGCAGTGTGTTCCATCTATTTGCCTGAAACTGCAGTCGCAATCGTTCAGATTTTACTGCTTTGCGTGGTTTAATGAGCCATTCTGTTCGTTGATTAAATAGCGTACCGTTTATTTCACTACAGTGTAATGCCTATACACAGTAGACACTAGAGATGTCAATCGGATACCGACTTTTTGGTATACCGATACCAAACCGATACCAACTTGGTATTTGGTATTTCAATCCTAATGTGTTTGGTATTTTGTTGGTATCATGAACCCTCACTAATGTATAAGAGGCTAAGAAATCGGTAAAAAGTTGGTATTTCCCTCATGTTCCCAAGTTGGTTTGGTTTCGGTATTTCTCCACGGTTTTGATTGGTATTTGGTTTGGTATCGGTATTCCGATTTTCCGTAACTGACATCACTAGCAGACACCATTCACCACGTTCACAAAACTATAGAGTAATAAATATCCCTAGATAATAGACACACGAGTCGCATAAACATCACTCAGAACTAAGAGACGTCAGGCATGAGATAGACCGATTGTCCCAGCCTACATCTATACCTACAACAGGGGCATTCCACGTCAAGTGGGACAAAAAATGACTATTTTGAACCTCACCTCCTCCGATTTTTTCGAAACTTTGTGAAACTACTCATCTATATGTGAAAAGAAAGGAGACATTTTTTTGTCAAGATATGACGTCACGTTTCCGAGATACACGTCATCAAACATTGACTTAGGCAAGGCACATTACCATCTTTGAAGCGTCATAACCTTTAAAGTTTTTGACATGTCACCATGCGACAAAGTTTGAAACGGAGGGAATAGATCAGGCTTTAATTTGAGGATAACATATTGACGTCATTAACTAATTAGTGAACATAATTGTAATTCAAAAAATAAATTTTGAATTTCTGAAAAATGGGTACCCATCGATTTTGCTGATTTTTACATATTTTATTCTCCCATACATTAGCTACATCATATGAAAAATTCAGAATGGGCCGACGTCTCCGTAACTGTCTTTTGGACTTCGTAATGTCTGGCATTCGCGAGTTTCGTTTTAGCAACCAAGGAGAGGCGCTACCCGGAGATGCTTCTTTCTACCCCACACCAAAGCAAACCTAACCTGACTTGACCTGACCTAATCTAACACGCTTAAATATGTTAAGCCCTCACGGCAGTTGCCGGCTGGCCAAATGCTACTTAGATACTAACACTAGCCCTCACGACAGTTTCCGGCCGGCCAGATGCTAGGTACTTAAAAAACGAATGCGAAAAAGAACATTTGAGGCTGACCGGCCGCAAGCCAGCGACCTATAGATTACGAGGTGGGTACATTCGGCACACAAACTACTAAGCCACGAAGATAGTTGGTCATCGCTGAGATGTAAGCCAGTTTTTTTTTAATGATGCAATTGGGCATTATCCGGGCAGCGCCTCTCTTTGGTTGTAAAAAGGAAATACGCCTGACTCTCCCAGCGCTAGGGGAGAAAGGCCCGGTTTAGCCAAAGAAGTATTTAAAAAAACGGAATTTGATTTGTTGGTGGGGCGGTGGGGAACTTTATCGTGTGCCAATTTAATGACCCTAGATAAATACATTCAAGCTCAAGTGAGGCTAAACGTGATCAAATTTACCATAGTGACTATTTTGCGTTTATACACCCATAGCTCTAAGAGTTACCGGCCGATTTTCCTATGTTTTATTTATTCGATGTTTTAGCATGTTAAGAGAATCTCTAGTTAATCTAACAATAAATTTGGCAGTTAGTGACCTGCTAAGAGTAAGCTGTCGCCGGCAGAGTCGTGGGTCGGCCGATGCGGGAAACGTTTCAGTCACAATATTGTGTTTGCAACCTAATAATTCAACTTTTACCAATTTAGTTTCGTTTTTTACCATAAGATTGCCTGTACATTTATAAGCCTTCACACAAGATTTGACGCGAATCGATCATAATCAGCGGTAAGAAACGCAGTGCAAAGATGGAACCGTCCCGTGCCGGCACAGTCTACCATTCAGGCGGCGAATATCGGCCGGCGTCGGCCGCCGCGCCGCGCCGGCAGGATGTTTGATTTTGCACCGCTATTACTAGAAAAGTTGTGGACCGATTTACCTATTGCTTGCACCAGAAGATTTGCAATTCGATTCTGGACAGGTATTATCAATTTGACGTTAATATAATGAATACGGCGTGAGCTATTGGCGAAAAACAGGTGGGGTTGGCGAAATCCGCCCCCTTCCACTGCGCGTGTACGTTGCACTTCTTGTTGCTATATCACCCAAAGTTATCGTTGGCCCACTCTAATTTTCTCAGCAGGTGTGCCTTACGTGTAGTTGAAGACAATATCTAAATTTGAGCAAAATCGAAGGGTACCCATTTTTCACAAATTATATTCTAAGAAATTAATTCAAAATAAAATGAATTCAAAATTTTCAAAATATGTAAAAACTTCCAAATTTTGCTAGTATAACTCTTTATGTATACGTTCCACTTTGTTTGATATTAATAGCTTCAAAAATGTTGAAGCTATGGATCTTTCAAGATTGCGATACACGCCCAATTCTGCTAAAAAAGCAGAAGTTTAGCGGCTTGTATCTCTGTAACTCGAGGGCATATGACAAAATCCTTTCACCCTCAAAGGTTTCACCCAATAGGCAATAAGTATACCAAGTTTGAACAAAATCGCAGAGGTGACCGATTTTGGCTGTCCCGGTTGACATGGAATGCCCCAACAATAACAGCTTTTTATGTAAACAGGACGCCTTTCTCGTTCCGTTTAGTTTGAGAACCAACAGGTATTACTGCTCCTATACACAAAATAATATAAAAAGGCACCGGTCAACGGGTTCATAAGCAGCTATATCGCATTTAAGCTACAAAAACTGTCGACCAATGTTGTGTTTAGCAAGCTGTAAGCTTGCACATCAAGTCGCTAGGCTTGTTTAGCCAGGATTCTGCTCAGTGACCACCGAATGCTTCAAAGTTTCGGCGAAATCCAGAAACACGAATGTACTGAAAACTGGCGTGAAACCCCATCTGCTCCCAGTCTTCATGTGTACCTCCCTTACTCATTGACTGGCTGTAAAAATGCCGATTGACAGCAGAAACTCTTGCGCGAGTTGCATGGCCTGTCTGTGAAATTCACTTCTCCATTCTTGAAAAATGCAACATTACATTTGGCGGCTCCATTAACGTCATCCGCTTCTCCTGATTCTTGAATAGCGGGGGAAGGGGAGCTCGGTGATGACCCTACCCAGAACTGGTTATCATCTAGGTCTGAGGCGAAGTCAGAGATGAGCTGTCGGTTGGATTCATCGACCACAGCCAGGTAGGCGCGATCAGCTTCACAGGACCTCTTGGCCTGATCGAATGTCTTCTTCTCCGAGACGAGGCGATAGCAGCGTGAGTCAGAGTTCCCCATGTAGCCCCTGGCACACCGGCGGCACTTGGAACCGATCAGCACCTCGTTCTCCCGACATTTGGACCTATCGGCGCCATCGCCGATGGAATTTACCTTGTCAAATAGACGGTCCATTTTTCTGTTCAGGCCTGCGATCTGTTCCTTGAGCATGAGCTGAGAAGAGCTTACAGATCCAACGTTTTCCTTAAGCTTATCTACTTCTGATGCAACGTTGGCAATGGCTGCTCCATTCTCCTCTACAGCTTTAACGACACTAGATGGGTCGCCTACTATAAGACCATCAAGTTGGTTTTTTATTTCTGCCAGACTGCTTTGCTGTGGTCGAATCTCATTCAATAGCTCATTTTTAAGCAATCTTACATCTGATTTAAAGTCATCTGATACCTTACTAAGGGAGGAACTCAGGTCTTCCTGGCTTCTCTTCAAGTCCTTGACGCTTTTCTCCAAGAAGCTATCTTTCTCGGCAATTTTTTGGATTATCTCCGATTGTTTTCGGGTATTTTCCTGCGCGAAATCTGCCAACGCGGATCTCATTGCTGCTGAGATTTCACTATTTGAATTACGGATAAAAGCTTTAAGTTCCCGAAGGGCTGCTTTAAAGTCTTTGCCATCGCCACCATTATCAGGAACTAGTTTCGCTACTTCTGCTTCTATGTTGCCAAGGCGTTCATTGATATTGTCTTTAATCGAAGCGAAAGCCTTTGCCAGGTCAGCTTGTCCATCAACCAGCTTACCTGTATTTCTGTCTATCCCACTCAAAATATCATCCACGGCCTTTTTCAGCGACGAGGTATCATCATTCAGCTGTTCTGTCTCCCTTAGAATGTCTGTCAGCTTCCTAAGCGCTACTCCTTGACCTTTCTTCCCTGCATCAAGTTCTTCCAGTAAATCTCTTTTGAGGTCTTCTAGGTAGGTATCTTGCCTCCTTTGCCACCTGACTAGATCGTCAACTCCGCGCTGGATGTCGTCCAGGGCGCCCTTCTTGCCACTCCCGTCCACCTTCTGTCGGATGTCCTCAACGGCATCTTTGAGCGTCTCGACCTTTTGCCAGAGCGCCGTCTGCAGGTGCTCCAGGCGGCCCAGGATGGTCTGCTGGCCGTCGCGCAGCACAGCCTGCGTACAGCCCACGGCGCGCAGCACCGGCTTGTTGCTGCTGCCGCGACCGTTCCTGTCGATGTCAGAGCCGCCGTCGCCGTTCTGGGCCGTGCACTGGCGCAGCGTGTCGGTGGAAAGCTGCAGGAGAGGAGGAAACGAGGACGACGGAGGCCAGCCGGGGGCCTTCCATCCGCTGCTGCGCTCGTCCGAGGGCTGGGCAGTGTCAGCAGACTCTTCCGTCTCAATTTCAGCCTCACCGTCCTGTGAATAGAGCA